TTAGGCTGTTGGTATAATTTCCAGGTTTGGAATGGGGAAGAACCTGATGGTGTTCATAGCTTAGTTCCCAAGCATGATGGTCCTGTTTCATTCATGCAAACCCTACCCAATTATGGAAAGAGGCTTCAGGGAATCACCGGTTCACACACTGATGTTACTAAGGGACTAATCGAACAGGGATGGGTAACGAAGATTGAAAAGCACAGTTGCGTTGTTCGGTTCTACAATGGCATGCAAGGTTTTGCTCCCCAGTCTAAGTTTGGATTAGATCGGGGCTCTAAATTAAACTCAAGTTATTCTATTGCACCAAAGAGAGAATTAGCTGGGCATCTTACTATCATGAACAAGATAGTCAAAAGCGCGCGCCTTGTCGCTTAAGCGCACCAGGCGAGGCGCTATAGAGGTGCAGCGCCTTATACTCTTCCAGGCGAGGCTGTCTGACTGATGCGCAATATAAGCGCAAGAAGCGCAGAGGCGCAGAAGCGCACGCCTGACTCGCCTAGACCGGTAAACGGTTCTGAGTTTTTTTAAATAAGATTTGGGCCTATTTTAAATAAACCCATATCAATAATAAGATATAGCCCATCCAACTAATAGGGGAAGAACAACTTAAACCTTGTTAAAACCCTTCTTAGTGAATGTATCAAGGAGTTTACGAAACTTAGAAAGTTTTCACCGTTGCATTCTTATTTCCTGTGTTCGACCCACAACCTACACAACATGCGCAAGGTAACGTTCTCCTCCTATTTTTTCCATCTTCTTTCTGGTCTTTTTAATTTCTTCTTTTCTTACTCCCTCCGTAACATATATATGTTCCCATTTGAAAAGTAGGTAGATTAAGAATAGTGAAAGAGGATATAAATTATTGAGGGTATGATGGGAAGATAGTGAAATAATGTGTTGGAATGAAGGATAAATCCAAAAAAAGTAGGTGTAATAGTGTATTATTTTTAAAATTATTGAGGGTATGATTGGAAGATTATGAAATGAGAAGATATGAATGTTACATCGAAAAAAGGAAAGTGGGAAGATATAAATGTTACGGAGGGAGTATTTTTTATTTTTGCCTTTTGAATGTAAAATCAACATCCTTTTTCTTTATTTTTATCTTATCATTTAAAAGTCTATATCTTTATCTTTTCTCTTTCTTTTATCTGTCATTTTCTACTTTTGTTTTATACTTATCTCCTAACAACTAACAGTTTTCTTCTTTTAGTTTTGTCTATTCCTTTTTCTAACTTGTTTTATACTTCAGAATTATAACTATGGTATATATTTTTAGTATATAGATGGTGCGCCTGACACGAGTCAGGCGAGCGCTTTTTTTGCGCCTCAGGCGATTTGAGTACTCTAGCGCCTTGACTGTGCCTCACGACTTTGACTACCTTGGTCATGAAGAAATCCTTGTACCTCTCAGGTGAATTTTAGTGAAAGGTACTGATGGATCAGTTGTATTTAAAAACTTTGGCTCTTCAGGTGTGCTTGAGCTAGGTAAGGCTGAAGAAAAAGGTGGAAACCAGAAAGAGAATCTACTTAAGTGGGGTAAAAGTTCCGCTTTTTATTCTGAAAGGGAAGATCTAGGGCTAGCATGAGTGCAGAGTGTGGGAATACACTCAAAAAGAACCCAGCATTATCAAGCAGCATGGAAGATGGACCAATGTAAAGGATGTCCAGTGCGCCAGATTTCAGCTTAGAAACACAGCAATTGAGATAGTCTTCAACGACTCTACTGCTCTAGTGTTTTTGAAGTTGGCAACCCAAAATGATGCAAGGGATGTTGGCAGAATGATCATTACAAACAGAAATGAATCGATGTCTCCAAAAGGATACAGGGACAAGACTAGCATTATTTTGTTGGTTAATCAACGTGTTGAATTGGAAGTGGCTGAAATCTCTAAGGGAAGTTAGCTGACAAATGAGAATACAAACTCTGAGTACTTGATGATTCTTAACAAACATACTGGAAGGTCTTGTAAAGATTTAACTCAGAATCTGATGAACAATCATTTATCACGGGATTTTTTGCACTCTGGAGATTTTTTTTGCTCAGGCTGACAATTTTGGATAGCAAGAGGTTTGTAAAGGTAATTGTGCATAACTTGGAAGAGTTGCCATATTGTGTCATTGCTTTTCTGCAAATAAATGAGCAGCAGATTCACACATGGTTGATGGATGCTAATCCATTCCTTGCTGGTGAGAAGGATAATATTCAAAGTTGGCGAGCTTCTGGGGCATTGTTACTGGAAGAAGTGACAAATTCTTGTGGAGCAGCAGAAGTGATCCTCCAAGGTGATGACCGCGATGAGATGCAGGAATTACTTGGATGGCGTGAAAATCCTATGGTGAAGAACATAAAGATGAAGGATCAAGTACTGAAGCTCCTCGCTCAGAAATGAGTGAGATACTGGGAAGGTAGAGGCACCAGGATGAAGATGAAGTGGAAGATCAAGGTTTGTCTCCAATCACCCACCTTGAGAACAAGGTGATTGTCTAAGGGGGGAGATATGATAGAGCCCTGGGTGTTGGGCTGTAGGCTTCGGCCCACTCAGATATGGAATCTACGAACAGGTAATTTTGGTAAAGTTCGTTTGGCTAATAACGACTCTTGACATCACAGGGATGGGTGACATAGATTTAAAGACTTCATTGGGCACCACTTGGACATTGAAAGACGTTTGGGTCATTCCAAGCCTTAAGAAGATGCTGATTTCAATTGGGCAGTTGGATGATCAGGGATTTGATGTTACTTTTGGTGAGGGACAATCGAAAGTTGTCAGAGGGAATCTTGTAATCGCCAGAGGTAAAAAGAGGGGCACTTTATATATGGTTGAAGCTCCTGATGATGAGATGAATGCAGTGACCAACGGGCTGAATCCATCCAGTTTGTGGCATCAACGGCTTGGCACATGAGTGAAAAGGGAATGAAGATGCTCGTTGCAAGGGGGAAGAGCTTCCAGATCTGAATAAAGTGGATTCTAAGTTCTGTGAACCTTGCGTACTTGGAAAGAAAAAGAAGGTTTCTTTTGTGAAGACCGGACAGACACCAAAAACTCAGAAACTGGAACTAGTTCACACAGATGTTTGGGCCAACACCAGTCTCCTCTCTAGGAGGGTCAAACTATTATGTGACCTTCATTGATGATTCAACACGCTAAGGTATGGGTCTACTTTCTTAAAAATAAGTTTGAAGTTTTCAATATTTTTAAGAAGTGGAAATCTGCCGTTGAATTGGAAACTAATCTGAAGGTAAAGTGCTTGAAATTGGACAATGGTGATGAATACATTAGCACAGAGTTTATTGATTATTGTGCTAAACATGGCATTCGGATGATAAAGACGGTTCCAGGCACTCCTCAAAAAAGCGGAGTGGCAGAAAGGATGAACAGAACTTTGAATGAGAGGGCCAGGAGCATGAGACTTAATGTTGGGCTTCCAAAGACGTTCTGGGCTGATGCAATGAACACTGTTGCTTATCTTATCAACTGAGGGCCATCAATACCATTAGGTTTTAAGATAGCGGAGGAAGAATGGAAAGGAGAAGCTGTCAAGTATGGGCATTTAAAGATATTTGGTTGCAGCGCCTATGATCTTATGAAAGATGGTGACAAGTTAGATGTTAAAGCCAAGAATTCGCCTATGATCTTATGAAAGATGGTGACAAGTTAGATGCTAAAGACAAGAATTTGGTACCACTAAGTCAGTTTCTTGATGCTCCAACACCACAACACCTAGCTGCTGCCCACAGGGTACTAAGGTTTCTCAAAGCTTCACCTGGTAAGGGGTTGTTCTTATCCTTCCAGGCTCCCATACATAATTCACTCTAAAAGCATTTTCAAAAGCTAATTGGGCCGCTTGTTGCGACATTCGACGGTCTGTCTCTGGATATTGTGTTTTTCTAGGAGACTCTCTTATTTATTGGCGCTCCAAGAAGCAAACCACTTTTGCCCGTTCATCATTTGAAGTTAAGTACAGGGCTTTGGCATCTATTGTGTGTGAACTTCAATGTTTGACTTATATGCTATCTGATTTGGAGGTTACAGAAACAAGCCTCCTATTCTATATTGTGATAATAAGTCAGCAATTGTTATATCTGAGAATCCTGTTTTTCATGAAAGAACAAAACACATTGAAATTGATTGTCGTATCATCCTGGAAAAACTCTAACAGGGCTTGCTTAAACTTCTCTTTGTTCCTACTACCGGTCAGGAGGCTGATGGGTTCACTAAGGCCCTGCAAATATTTCCATTTCGTTTGTTTCACTCTAAGCTGAGGCTTCATGATATCTACACCCCAGCTTATGCAGAGGTATTGGAGGAAAAAGAGAAAAAAAAAACCACAAGGCCACACCCAAGCCCATAATTAAATTGACAGCTGTGTCAGTAGTGTAGCCTATCATATACACATGTTCTTTTTTAAAAATTGACTGGATGTGCTGAAAGAAGGATTTTCTGTTCCAACTGAATAACAGCGAAGGTTTTTCCTTTTCTTCTGAAAGTTCTAGTTCTTCAATTGTAAGTTCTACTTCTTAAATGGAGTGTATAATTGTTTTATTTTCTTAAAGTAGATCTCAAGTCAAGAGAAAAACATTGGCAATGATGCAGATGGGATGTTAGAAACACCTACCTGTAAACGAAAGTTAATTCATTAATGAATATCTTGTGGGGATAATTCAGCCATTCAGGAGTACATGACAATAAAACATTCTGAAGCTTTACTAAGCGAGTTTAGGCTAAAAATAACTTATACTTGGGCATAAAAATGAAAACTTGATGAACATTCATTGAATGCGAACAAAAAACGCGAACTGATTTGAACACCCAACAGAAACAAATCAATACAAACTCATCCAACTCATAAGATAATATTAACCAGATCCATAAGCGCAGAAACATACCAGATAACTAAAAAATGATAAAAATAAATAAATATATATTTATTCCGGTTACAGATCAGACTCTTAAATCCATTTACGTGAGCAAAGTTAAGGTTTATAATCGTACTTGTACTCATTGGTGAGTTGCCACATGTAAGGATTGAACCAGGTTACGGCTGAGAAGCCAGCAGCACCGATCCACTTGCTCCAAAATGTACTCGGGTCGGAGTGGGGGACTCCCGGGTCTCCCCGGTAAGCGTTTCCAAAATACTTCTCCATTTCAGCTCAGAATGTGTGCTGCTGCCTGCCTTCGCACCCGGCCACGCCTCAAAGGGGCATTTTATAGTTTTGGACTTTGCCCTTCATTTTAAAAATTCTTTATTTTTGCACCACAATTTCATATTGAAAAGACAAAAATGTCCTCCATCATGAATACTACGTATGTTGAAGGCCAACAAATTTATTAATGAAAGAGCAATTTTATCTTTTCATATGGGATTAGAGTGTAAAAACAAAGTTTTTTAAAAACATGATGTGAAGTCCAATTTGCATAATAAAATAGGATGCCAACTCAAAGGCGAATACAGAAGCATAAGTCTTTTAGGCAGCGACCCTCAGTTCGTCGATTGGAGCTTTACCGTCAGCTTGCGAACAATTTTGCCAACCTAATTTTCGACCTTGGCTTTCAAATTAGCGTTTCTGGAGATTAAGGGGTTCATTGAGAACGAAGCTGATTCAGGGAGTTCTGCGGTGAAAATTGGGGGCTGGGTTAGTAGCAGTGTTCTAAAAAGCGGGCCTAGGCGCCGCAAAAGCGGGCCTAGGCGTGAGGCCTGAATGAAACGCCTCGCCTACCCATAAGGCGCGGTTAAAGGCGCACTACAATTTCTGGTTGCCTATCGTTAGTCCGCATGAAGCCTTGTAAAGGAAGACGGATTATTTATAGCGTTTGGTGAATTATAACGCTTTCGCTCTCACCGGTGTGGGATAAAGAATGGGAACGGAGGAAAGAAAATTCCGTAGTAATTTGTAAAGCATATCTCCTACCGGTGTGGGATATAGAATAGAAAAAAATGAAATGCTACATCTAAACATAAACTAAAGCATGAGAAGAATACACATATACGATCATGCATGGGTAAGCATACCTCCAGTTGAACTCACATTATAACTCACATCATAACTCACATTGTAACTCCATACTAAATACGCTAAACAACATCACTTGTTATTAATAATACGTAGTATAATATTGTTGTTCGAGTTATTGTTATACTACAATCTTCTCAAATTCATTTTGCAACTTTGAAGAGATTTTAATGTAGTTTCTGAAAAATCTAAATTTTAATTATTAAGAATTGAATTAATTATCAATAGAGAGAATTTAACTTTAACATTGGTTGACCAAAAAATGTTGACTTTGCAAATCAATTTGAGACAGAGGGAGTATTATTATTATTATTACTAGTGTTACCGTTTATTGTTTTTTTTACGGCCTGTTACCGTTTATTGTTATTATTCTTGTTATTGTAAAAGAAATTATTGTTATTGTAGTTTAGTGTTATCATTGACAACTTCCTCACCATTATCATTTTATTTTATTTTTAAAAATGTTACTATATAGAATTTATGAACAAAAATTATAACTAGAGTGACTCTGAGTATGTTTCCATAGTCACTAAAATGTAAAATTTAGTATAGTCACTAGGAGTTATTAAGTCATTTTCTGTCCACTATTTTACTTTGATCATATATTAGATATTATTTTTTTATTAATATTAATATTTTACCATTAAACTAGTTTTTGCAGTGCTAAATCTTTGTGCAATTGGTAACTTTGTACTCCCTGTATTTGTTAGATTTAGGACTCAACTATTTTTCTTGTTGTTAAAAGTGAGAAAATATGAAGTTTTTTAATACCAATATTTAAAAATTACATTAAAATATGTAAAATAGTTCTAGGAAATTTAAAATAAATGATAAAAAATCAAAACGCCTTTTCACGCCTAAGTCTCGCCTAAGCCCGCCTAGGCTTCAAAGGCTTAAGACTTGGCCATGCCGCCTCGGCACGCCTTACGCCTTTTAGAACATTGGTTAGTAGTGGGTTGTTCGAATAACAGACATGTATGATGGAAAAGGGGGGTTGGGTAGTATAAACGACAGGGTTGTTTTGTAATTTTATAATACATTAGATCAAAAATCACTTTTTTCATCAAACACTCCAACTTTTACATTTTTATTAAAATCATTTCTATTCTCAGACACTACCAACTTTTACTATAAATCATTTTTCCAACAATCTTTTAAAAAAATCACTTTTGAAAAGCACAAGCAATCGCAAACACTCCCTAAATGAATTCCTCCATTTTGATAAAGTATTTTTGTGAACCACAAATATAGGGAGAGAGTACAAAATGGGATAGCAATAGCATTTGTGTCTTTTTTTGCACGAAAGTAAATGAAGTTCTACTACCTATATTTTAAGATTCATCAATTATGCTCCTGCTAAATAAATTTTGTCAAAACCAATTCTTAGAAGGTAAACCGCCATGTTGACCTTCGTAAAATATATCGTACAGTTAGTTGTACTGTGGACACGATACAGTCGGACTTTTTGTTCTATGTGAACCGCTCGTCGTCCCTCGAAGCTTCGCTCGCACAGGCAGATATCTTCCCCTCCACCTCGCGTAGCTCATCGCTTCCTCGCCGCAGGGATCGCTTCGCTCGCCTCTCGTATATGTGATGATGGAGCTCTCAACGGAGAATATGGATCGATTTTGCGACAGACGACGACGAAAGGGATACCAACCCTAGATTTGGCTCCTTTTTTCTCTTTTTCTTATGCAAGTTTGGTGAGTTTGGTAGCTTGTTTACCACAAGTTGCGAGAAGCCAAGATATGCACACGTAGTTTTATGGATAGTAGAGATTTGAAAGAGTTTTTTAAATTGTTCGATGATCATTTCGTAATTTATGTATGCTCATTTGGTATTGATGTAATCTCATTTTAAAATGTCATATTCATGCATATTTCAAAAAGTATAATATTACATTAAATTCACATATTAGATTCATACGGGTTCATTGTGGATATTTTGAAAAACAAGAAGAAAAAAGTGAATGAAAAGATATGAAACCGATATCACGATACTCACTATTAGACAATCAATACTTAGCACGATAGTGCTTACTAAAGTACGACAGTGCTCATTTAGCAGAAGCCATAATTTTCACTTAAATTACGAAAATGTCATCGGTTGTACAGTGTTCATCGTACAACAGGTTGGACGGTATAGAAACTCGATGACCTGGCACACATGTGACGACTCCACATCACCTTTTCCTTTTATTTTTCTTTTAATTTCCTTTTTCTTTTTCCTTTCCTCCCCTTTTCACGTACCCTCTTTTCTTCCTTCTGCGTAGAGCTGCCCCCCACCCCACCCCCATTCACTTCCTTTCCAATATTCTTTTGTGCCATTCAACTCATCAGTAGGGGTGGACGCGGTCCAGAACGGTCCGATAAATTAGCAAAACTCGTAATGTATACGTGAGATTTCAAACGGTATGGTCCGGTTTTAAGGACGGGACCATTCGGTACAATGTTGTTTCGAAACGGTGCAAAATGGTTCGGTTCAATGCTAAAAACATGCCGATACATTTGGATAAATCTTGCGATTAGTAGATATCATCACACCGGCCAATCCACATAAAAAGTTGATAAAAATATAAGAAAGTGCATACTAAATACTAAAAAAGATTCAAGAGACTGACATTTTTGTATTTAAATTTACAAATACTCAAATAGTGCCACACAACTAAGAAAAAATATAGCAAAAAGACGATACACTAGTATAATATCATCTTTATTAAATACATGTGGAAATATTAAAAGAATGTCATTAAATTGTTGAATATAATAGAAAATTTAATGTTCTTCTTCTTTATTCTAAGTTGAATATTAGTTCTAAAAGGGAAAAAATAATAATAATAATAATAATAATAATAATAATAATAATAATAATAATAATAATAATAATAATAATAATAATAATAATAATAATAATAATAATAATAATAATAATAATAATAATAATAATAATAATAATAATAATAATAATAATAATAATAATAATAATAATAATAATAATAATAATAATAATAATAATAATAATAATAATAATAATAATAATAATAATAATAATAATAATAATACGGAGTAATATTTATAAAACACACACTTGGCTATTTTAGGGATGCATGTATACATACTTGGGTTATAAAATTGTTGGTCTATAAACGATATTTATTGATATGGAAATATATAAAAATCTCAAAAGCATTATTTTTGAACGTTCCGGTCCGGTATTTTTCGGTTCTCAAAATCTAGGACCGATCTGTACCCGTTTGAAACTGTACGGTTTCGTTCGGGATAAAATTCTATGGAACCATTTAAATACTCAATATTCGGTTCGGTACCATTCCGGGCTAGTTCGGTTCGGGTTTTATGCCTGCCCCTACTCATAAGTGCATACATCGGCAATTGTATGCCCTCCGAATCCAATCGAACTCCAGCTCTAGAACGAATGTCGCGAACCACCACTCCAATCGAACTTGGGTTTGTGTTGCTCTGTAATGAACTCTGACGATCATCGTTTATGTTTTCAGCTCGAATCAAACTCCAGTGCAGCTCTGGAAAAAACTCCGTCGAGCATTGCTTCTATTATTTATAGAGAATAATTGTTTGCTTGAAACAGTTAGATGGTTAGCTGATGTAGCAGAATGTTAACGGATCAGTTAGTTTGAGAATCTATTAAATTGATCCCTATAAATACATATTGCAACAATTTGAACTAATATTGAATATCCATTCAATCTTTGTTGGAAAAACTACCAAATAGGACCTCGAACTTACATAAAAAGTGCAAATCACACCTTATATAGGAGACTCTCTCCGGCCGTCGCCATTTGGGGCGGTTCCCGGTGGAATTTTTTGATGAATTTGTTTTAGCATCTTATTCATTAAGTCTAGTTTACTCATACCAAATTTAAGCTAAAACTTCAATCGGGAAGGCTGTCAAATGATTTTCTAAAACACACTGCGTTATTTAACTGCACAATTATTTTCAAAAATTCATTTGACTGCCTTCCCGATTGAATTTTTAGATGAAATTTGGTATGAGTAAACTAGACTTAATGAATAACATGCTCAAAAAATTGCACCGGGAACCGCCTCAAATAGTGACGGCTGGACAGAACCCTCTATATTAGGGGTGATTTGCACTTTTTATGTAAGTTTGAGGGCTTATTTGGTAGGTCTCCCGTCTTTCTTACTCTCTCTTTTATCTTCTCTTGATTT